AAATTTGGCGGTGGCTGCTACACAGCAAGGGTATTAAATGGGGATTAGAAGTCACTTGATTGTAAAATTTTACTATGTAAATTCGAATTTTACTATGATGCAGATCACCAAAATTTACTATGTTTTACAACTCCCTATTGATCTGCGTGACATGTCCTGTGACTGATAATAGCCATAGACTTTTGATTTAATTAAAGATTGGTAAATTTCAAATTTTAATGTTTAAATTCGGATAAAATATATGTATATGTGTAGACTTTACTCCAAACCTCGGTTCTCGTTTAACCTTTAATCTTGAGATGATCCGAATGATCTTATTTAACCCAACAGTAAAGACAAAATTGACGAATATTTCCATGTAAAAAAAAAAAATAAAAACAGTAAAACGATTGAACATCAATTGTTACACTGCATGCTCATAAGCATTATTTTAGAATACTCTAGTATGTTCTCTTTTATAATAGATTAAAGATCTATATATATTCCCCCATATTTTTCAAGAAAAAAATTCATTTTTTAAAAAAAAACTTTCTCCTATTTCCAACACATAATTTTCACGATAATGAGTGTAAGTTTGGCCCTTCTTATTTGTGTACACACGTATAACAAGAACAATAACTAATAAAACTCAAATGTTCAATTTTATCATTCGATTCGATTTTTTTTAGGCAGAAGAGTTTAAAAAACAAGGAAATACAGCTTTTACAAATAAAGAATATGAAAAAGCAATAGATTTTTTTTCAAAAGCTATAGAATTAGATCCTTCAAACCATGTTTTATATTCGAATAGATCAGCTTCTTATGCTTCATTAAAACAATATGATGATGCTTTAAAAGATGCTGATAAAACGATTGAATTAAAAAAAGATTGGCCAAAAGTATAATTATGTGGTTTTTTTTTGTGTGTGTATGCGCGATAATATTATAATTTTAAATACATAAATAAATTATTTTGATGATGATTAGGGTTATAGTCGTAAAGGTGCTGCACTTCATGGTATGGGAAGACTTGAAGAAGCTCGCGAAACATACAAAGAAGGTCTTACTCATGATCCAAACAACCAACAATTAAAAAAAGCGTTGGAAGAAGTTGAAACCGCATTAGCTCCTAGTAAGCAATATATGATGAAATTATTTTTTTAAAAAAAAATAATATGATATCATGAAATTCTAATTCTGATTCTGATTCTTTAATTATATAGGTAATACGAAAATTTTCCCAGATGATATATTTGCCAGGATAGCCCTAAACCCCACATTGAGACCATATCTTGATCAACCAGATTATGTTGAAAAAATTAAAGCTATTCAAGCTAATTCTGAGCTTTTAAACGTGTACGCAATTAATTTTCACTACTGCTACTATTATTATTGTTAGTTTTTTATTACTTACCTACAAATATTTAATTTTCATTACCTTGAATGATTTTTTTTTTTTAAAAATATTTTTTAGACATTTACAAGATAAACGAATAACTAGTACTTTTATGTACATTTTAACTGGTAATGCCAATTTCGATCCAAAAGAACCAACGTCTCCTACACAGGTATGTATTATTGAGAAAGTATATAAAATATCCAACCATTCCACAATTAATTAAACCATTCAATTAACAATCAGGATGATGTGAAAATGGAAGAACCTAGTAACAATGATAGATCTGCATCATCATCAAAACCACAACCTGAGCCTGAACCTGAGCCTGAACCTGAAGAAGTTACAGAAGAAAAGAAAAAGAAAAATGAGGCAATTAAAGAAAAAGACATGGGTAATGCTGCTTATAAAAAGCGTGAATTTGAAGAAGCTATAAAACATTACGATAAAGCTTGGGAATTGGATCCTACAAATATTGCTATTTTGAATAATAAAGCTGGTAAGTGATATGTGTTTTTTTTGCTAATGATGATAATAATTAACTGATTAGTTATTAATTATTTTATAATTGTGAAGCCGTTTTATTTGAACAGGGAAAATATGAAGAATGTATCAAAATTTGTCATGAAGCTATTGAAATTGGTCGTGAAAATCGAGCAGATTACAAATTGATTGCTCGGTAATACTATAATTATAATAATTATAATACTATTATTATCATCATGGCTAATATATTTCTCATCCTTCTATTTATCTTTATATAGTGCGTATGGTAGAATTGGAAATTCATATTTGAAATTGGATAACCTTGAAGAAGCAATTAAATATTTTAATAAATCATTGACTGAACATCGTACGCCAGAAATACTGGGTAAATTGAGAGATACTGAGAAATTGAAAGTTAAAAAAGAAAAAGAATCCTATTTCAATCCAGAACTATCGGATAAGGCACGTGAGGCAGGAAATGAACTTTTTAAGAAGAGTGCATTTGCTGATGCTGTTAAAGAATACACGGAAGCAATTAAACGTAATGAAAACGATCCACGAGCTTATAGTAATCGTGCTGCTTGTTATACCAAATTGATGGCATTCCAAGAAGCATTAAAAGACTGTGAAACTTGTATAAATCTTGACCCTTCATTTGGTAAAAAAAAATTTTTTTGAAATAGTAATGAGATTTGTTTTATTTATAATTATAATGCTTATCTGCCTATTTGTTTCTATGTATGTATAGTTAAAGCATATATCCGTAAGGCAGCAGTAGAATTTTTGAAGAAGGAATATAATAAATGTTCGGAAACATGTCAAATAGCATTATCTCATGATCAAGATGGTAAACATAGAGCAGAAATCTTGCAACAAATAAATAAATGTCGTGCAGCAATGTATGAAAATTCAGCATCGGATGATAATCCTGAAGAAATTTTAAAGAAAGCCTCAAGTGATCCAGAGCTTATGGTGTGTATTTTATTATTTTTTGAAAAAAGAATTCCTTTGTTTTATATATATATATATATATTTCCTATTTAAAAGAACAATACTAAAATATATTTAATTTAACAGAAAATTTTGACTGATCCTGTTATGCAACAAATTCTTCAACAAAGTCAAGAAGATCCACAAGCATTTAAAGAGTAAGTATTATTTTTTTTTTCCTTGATATTATTAATCATAATAATTATGACCATATTGATTTTTTTACCTCCCTAAAAATATTAGACATTTAAAGAATCCTATGGTTGCGGCGAATATTCATAAATTGATAAATGCTGGTATAATAAAAACAGGATAACGAAATATGTTTTAGCAGAAAATTTTTTGTATAATTTTGTATTTATGTTATATATTTATATATCTAAATTGGGTTTTTTATAATACATCATGACTAGTTCATCAATGTTAATGAAATCATCATTATTATTATCGATATCATTAAATTTTATCCAATTTTATCATTGTTTTATTGATTATAAATAAAATATATTAATAAAATTTATAACTAGTTCATAATCAATTATTCCGCTTATTATAATAGAGCCATACACAAGCAAATTTTCGGAGATTTAGTTATATTTTAGATTGATATTATTATTGCATTGATGGATTGATTTGTTATTTTAATAAATAGTATTTTTCCAAAAAAATAAATTATTTAGGAACATTGAACGTTGGGAAAATTCCAACTATTCAAATATAATCATACGCTACAAGTCTCTTGCTTTAATATAATAGAATTTTTCTCCAGTTCTATGGTTTTTTGTCAAAATCGTTTAAGGTTTATTTTAAAAAAATCATTGAACAAATTACCAAGATGACAACTCACTATCACCATTGATGGGTGAGTATTATCTATTATTTGATTATTCTGACACAAATTTACATTATACATTACTATTTTTCGCTGATAATGTAATTATTATTATTAATATCTTCTTCGCCGTCTTCATTTTCGTTTCTTTACTCTCCATCTCTTCATTCTTTTCCACGTTAATCCATTCTTGGATTACTTTTATCATTTTCTTTCTAGTATTGGTTTTTCTCTGGTAAAGGTTTTTTGTGGTGACAGTAGAAGCTTCTTGTTAAATGAAGAATCCGAGCTTAGGCCTTTTCTTATCAAACAAGTATTTAAAATCTTCCCACAAATTTTCAACGTCCTATGAATAGTACTTTTTTGACCACTAATTTGATTTCAGTTTTCCAGACTTGATTGTATCGATTTTTTGGTTTATGTTATAGAATTTTTTTTTAAAGTATTTTAAAGAAGAAATATCAGCCAACGACCTATAAAATTTTGAGCAAAAATATTTTTTTAAATGTGTTTTTATAATAAACTATCTTATGTCCATCAAACGGTTAAACAAACTCAACTCTAAACTCTAAACTATCAGAAAATTTGATTGTGGAATTTGTTTACATTGTTTACAACGCAAATATTTGCAAGTAACGATATTGGTTTCAAGGATGAAACATCTAATTTATCGCGAACAGTAGTTTTATATGTTTTGGAACTTTTTGAATCAGGAATAACTTTTGTTTATTGATTTTTTTTATAAAATTTATTACACAAATGTATGAATTAATTGAAAATGAAGGATTTAAAGGTTGGATGGTGTGTGTGTGAATTGTGATGTTCCCACGAATTTAAACGCGCTGAAATCGAAACTAAAGCTGATCCAGAGAATTTTTTTAACGAATATTGGTTTTATTTATAATAATGATAATAATAAAATGAAAAACTTCGATTTATGACAGTAATAGTTTGTTTAATAGATCATTGTTGTACATTAATGACTACACACTAGTCTTATTGTGCTTGGTTAAATGGTTATCTTTCTTAACAATCGTGAAAAAAAATGTGCGTTTTTGTGAAATTATGAAATTGAAATTAGCCAATCAATTATTAATAATAGTTCTTGGATGAATATTGGTTAGATTGCATGGAAATTGGTCGTAGCAAATGTTGTGAGTGCTCCACGTTACTGGAGTAATTACTCATAAATAAAGCAAATATCAATGATCATGACCAAATGAAATGCGATTTGATTACTCAATTTAATATTTAATATTATTTAGCTGCTACATTATAATTATGATGTAATAGCCAAAATATCAATACAAAATTGAGGTTATCTAACATACGGAGTTAATCGATACTTTTTTACTGGTTTTGTTTACATTAAATTGTTAAAGGAACTGCAATTTTCAGGACCAGGGTTTATGAATACAAAGCAGTGATTTTTAAAAAATGTTGTGGGGGGTGATGTGGTAAGCGACCAAGAAAAAAGGCTTTAGATCTGTAATATCATGCAGACTGTGGGGCGGTTCGCTTTAGAAGATGGTTGTAAATGTGTACGTATTAATAGCAATATTAACAACCAAAACTGCTTGAAGTTCATTTTATTCTCTCATTTGCTTTTTAGCTAACATTGATACAATCGACCAAGTTTTTTTATTAATAATAACGATGATTGTGATGTTAATAACAATGGTGATAATGTCGATAATGACATGATAATAATAGCAGTGTTAACAACAATAATAGCAACAACCATTACGTTGACAATAATAGTAATAATAATGGTGGTGACCATGAGCAACTACTACAACCCCCCTCATATGCACTGGCACGTAAATTAGTAGTAGGGCTTCTATTTGAATAAGGTTTATTCAAATTATTCACTTTACTTGTTATGAATTTGATTATTTGAATTACATTGAAAGTTTATTCGAATAAATTTTAATTCGAATAAGGAAATTGATTCGAATAAGGAAATTAATTCGAATAAAATAACTAATTCAAATAAAAAAATTAATCCGATTCGAATAAGAAAATTAATTCGAATAAGGAAATTAATTTGAATAAAGTAAATAATTTGAAAAAATTGATTTGGATAAAACAGATAATTAAGGTCCAGTTTAAATTCAAGCTCACTGGAAAGATTGCTATTTATTAAAAGAAACATGAATCTTGTTTCAGTCTTTCCTTATTAGTTTCATTTTTAATTTCAATTTTTATAATAATAAAATCAATATTAAACCTTGTTGTATATATAGTTTGAATATTTAAGTAATTGAACAACCCATGATTCCAAATAATCTAATAAAATGAATGAACAAACCCAAGAATAAAACAAATAATTTGAATAAAGTGAATTAAATTTTTATTCCAAATAAACTTTTTAATATTAATTCGAATTAAAGGTCAACTGTATTACGAATAATTCGAATAACAATTAGTATTACTATTACAAATAGAAGCCCTAATTACGATAAGCATAAATCTTTAATTTATTCAACCTACACTTTTTTAGGTTTTATTTATGAATCATTAATTATATTG